TAAAATAGAATCAATCTAATTGTTTGCATATATTTATGCATATCTTGTTTTCAAAAAAATATTTGATTCATCGACTCTTTGAAATTTGGTACTATCAAAACATTAATTTCTTTAATTTAAACAAAACTTTTAAAAGTTAAAATTTTCTATTATTTATTGATTTATTCACAAAACTAATGACTAACAATATCTATTCATACCAATTGAACTTTTCCCTCGAGAAAGTGTACAATCAAACGATTATCTCTCTAAAATGTCTTATCCAACCTCAAGTGCATTGCATTAGATGATTATTCTTCATCAATACGATTGGAAAGAAATCAATTGTAAGTGTTTATTGATAAATTAAAATAACATGAAAATTTAACAAATGTTGAAAGTAAAAGATATAATGTCTTATCTTACGAAGACCAAATATTTTTGCTAAATCTTATTTTCCTTTATATGAGTCTTTTCTCCATCTTTAACTAACAAAGTCGCTCTATCTATAAATTAGTAACTGTTTTGAGGATTTTGAATAAGCATGGACAATATGGAAACCATTATAATAATATAAGAATTTATGTTTCCCTCAATAACAACTCTAGTCAACTGTTAAGGAAACACATTATTCATACCAGACCTCTTCAAACGTGGTCTACCTTAGATGCCGAACCAATATAGGTAGAAAAGCCACAAGAAAACATTTTATCATGATCCATCTGATAATTTCAACTGTTTTACCAAAACCAATGAATGGTCTCTCTTTTCCATTATAGGTATCCCGTAACCATCACATGATGAGGTATTACAATAATATGTGTATATGATACAAAATTTTAAAAATCTATCATCGTCATATATGTCCATATCTCTAATTATGTTTTCCATATCTTATTAAGTGAGGGATGAGGCTTAATGTTTACAAAAATTAAAATATATTGTGATATAGAAGGCTAAGCTTAAAGGCTAAGAGAGAAGAAAGAACTGAGTTGTTGTACGTTAAAGTGTAATAACAACTCTCAAAATCATGATTTGAAAACTGTGGTAATTAATGTGTTCATCATAGCCAATTGGCAATTGAGACCATATGCTTCCCCATGCTTAAATCCACTCTCTTCTGCTCTAGGTTTGTAAAACTTATACTATAGCGTCGATTTTGATACTAAAGAATAAACTTATACTATAGTTTGTGTATTTCTTTAAATTTTCCAAAATTGTTTGAAAATATATTTTCGTATTATTTTTTGTTTTTATTTTTAGTCTCATTAGACCATACTTTATAAACAGTTTACGGCATACATGATGATTTATGTAGTACTTGTGACGTTGGTGATGGGAGAAATTCACTTTCATATTTGGTTTTAAATCTTTGTAGATGACCAAATTTTTAGAACTGTAACATTATTTTTTTAACGATAAAGTGTGCTTTAATGAAGCGAGAAGTTTAAAACTTGTACGTAAGGTGTAATTTTAAAAAATTTGCTTAAACTTTGTAGAGCTCCACTCGTAAGGTGTAATTTGGACCTTTTAAGGACCTCCACTTCTCCTATTTTCGCTCGTTTTGACCAATCAAACCCCAAGATATATAAGCTTATTCTCTTCTAAGTACTGCGTATATCAATCTTCTTCACCAAGCTTTCTCTATGTAACGCTAGTCTTTTCTTGTAGTAACTTGACTTATTTAGTAACACCTATGGCAATCATCATTGTGATACGCTTCCACGCCGATTTGTTTATCGTTTACTTCTGGGTCTTTTTTTCTATCAATCTATTTACAATTGAAGTCTTACAAATGAAGTCCACAAAAACTGAAAACCTACTAACATAATTTATTATGTTTTACTGAAATCTGGTTGAGTTTAATTTCTGAGAGACGTTGTTAACGAAGATATCTCCGCCTTCTTGAAGACATTAACCATGTTATGACAAAGATTTCGCTTTGGCTTCTTCTCCAAATCACATTTGCATATGCCACAATTTTCTTTTTATTGGATTATGAATTATGCTTGGTTCTTTTGTTAACACTTGGTTTAACTTGCACCTATAAATCCCAATATTAATACGATCTCAACATCTCTGGCCACTGCATATAGACTTTTGGTGTTTTAAAAAGCTCAATGGATGGATCATACATATATTCTATACGTGGGGCATTGCCATAGTTTCCTTGAAAATAAAACTTTTTCCAGAAGTTCTGAAGCCGAAGTGATATCTTTCTTGTATAGACATAAGATAATTAAGACTTGCGCTTTAAGATATCACAAGTAACGTCATGGTGGAAAACAAAACATGTTATTTTGAAAAAATCAAGCTAAAGTCTCACATGTAGTTTTGTGGAAGCAGATGATGGTGATTCCACTCTATAACATCACTCGGTAAGTTCTTCTGGGTTCCAGTAGATCGGCCCTCTAAATCTATTTTGATGTGACTCTTGTCTCTGGTTGGTGTTCTCATCTCTTTGCAACATGACTTTTGCCTCTGGTTGCTACTAAGGTAAGTGACTTTTCGCCCTCGC